CACAAAGACAAGTTTCGAAGAACAAAGGCGTTTTCTTTCTATTTGATTATCCTGCCTTTCACGACTTCGAGGGGGAAAAAAACCACTGGCATCATCTCGCTGGCTAGGTTAAACAAGAGGGGAGTACCTGCTATTCGAGTTAGTAAGCTAGCCAGCTGGCCTTTTTTTTTTTTTTTTTTTTTTAAACAAGAGGGGAAAAAAGGTCTAATTAGCTGAATTCATTTCTTAAAAGTAAAAATAAACAATGAAAGAGCTGAATATGAAGTTGTTTGGAGAACCTGCCTGGAACTGTGCTTTTTCTTATCATGGCCATGCTGCCAGAAAAAAAAACAAATAAATCTATTAATCAATGAGAAGCTCTTGGCAGAGAGCGAGGTCTGCCTATGCCATCAGGTTCTGCAGAATTTAATTTTTCTTGTTAAGGGAATTTTCCCGCATCACTACCATGCCTCATTATCAGTTCCCAGCAAACCAACGCAGTGCTGTTCTCCCAAGGTGGCAAATCCACAACCGTTGCCTCCCTTTCCCAACCAGCCTCCGAAGGAAGAGGCCAAGGGTCTGGGCTGTCCCACCGTCTGCTCAGAAACCTGTAAGCAGAAAGAAAAAAAAAGAATGACCCCCTGTATCATCCCTCACCAGGGCCAGGTAGGAGGCTGAGCACTAGCCAAAGCAACCTGCAGCACAAAAAAAATGATTCCCAGATCTTTTGGGAGCAAAGAAGATGAGGGAAGTGAAACTGCTAACCTCACGCTTAAAAGACAACTCTGGAAATGGAAAGAGGTCAAGTTCTTTTGCCACCACAGATACTGGAAAGAGATTTGGCTGTAGCTAGCAGAAACAGCAGGAGCAGGACTAAACATACGCCTCTTGCAAACACATACCCCTTCCCCATGGATTACCGCCTTGGAGCGGCAACTGCGATGACTTTCCAGCTTCGGGATGCCTCATTTCTAAACTCTGCCACACGCTATTGCTTGCTAAAAAATATCCTTTTGCACAGTCAGGTCAGCAGACTCCAAGCCGCAGGTGTCGATTTTAAAGTTTTGCCTCTTTATTCTTTCAGCCTTAAAGGATCACTAACGACCTGTCTGAAATTGGAGCACGATTATAATGTTTCGACACGCTGCTTGCCCCATCCCAAGTCACTGAATTACACAAAGATCCTAACAACGCAGCAGTCAAAGCATTTATGATTTGTTTTTCCATGTACTACTTGCTTGTTTCATGCAACCGTTTTATTGCTTGCTCATTTGGCCGTTTAAAGACATTGCTGTTCACAAAAAAGGTAAGCACATAAGATAAAGGCAACAGAATTTAGGGAGAACTGTCTATTCCGTTCAGAATACACAGGGAACGACCCTCAAAGGCAAAACAGTAATTAAAGGAGAATGGGAAATGTTTCACTCAAATCCTGGGGTCGCATATGACCCCAAGAATCTGTATTTTCCTCATAGCACGTGGCTTTCTCCATAGAAGCAGCAAATCCCTGGTTTTTTTCCTTTCCCTTTTGCCTAGCTCATGTTAAAGCATCCAAAAAGCAAAGGAAAAGCAGCGGAGGCAGCCAGGGGATGCTCTGGCCTCTGGAAGCTCAGAGTTCGGTGCCACAGGGACGCAGCTGCTCAATGCAGTTTTTTTCGCCTGTGAAACAAACCTTCCTGGGCACCCCGGGGAATCGGTGAAATGTATTCATGCGGTATCAGCCTCCCAGAAGATGCACACGCTCGACATCATCTGACGCAGGGAGTTAAAAAGGACGACTGGTCTCAAGTTCAGGGTTTCCACATGCAGCTGGGATTCAAGGTCAGAAGAAACACTTGGCTTCTAACCTTCAGAAAAGAAGTTTATCTAATAAAAGTTGCCAATGTCTCTAAATCTCAAGGACAAGCAACCGTTTTGTTTTTTTCCCAACCAAGAGGCATTTGGAAAAAAACACTTTACATGTGCAACATATTTTTTTATCAACACATCAAGCCTCAAAGTTCTTTAAATATTTGAAAATTAGGAAATAATGGCACATAAAAGCGTACAGATTCTATTGCTAAATGAAGTTTGCTTCAGAAACACAAAACATTTATTAAGGTGATGGCAGTTCAACCATAAGTTCATGATGGCCACCCAAATGTTTACGACCAACAGTATACACCCTTTTTTAAGCTAGCTGTTTAGAGCATCACCTCAACCACACTGCACAACGCAATGCCAGGTCACCAATAACGCACAAATTTACCAAAACTTATCCGAGCAACAGCCATCGGTGTTCACAACACACAGCGTGGCAGCCGCGCTTTCGTCTCCAACGCGTGCTCAACCCAGCAGGCGGGATGAAGAGCAGACCTACCGAGGCGATCGCACATTTCCGCCAAGTAATTCTGCTTTGCAAAATTAAAGATTAACTGCTGCTCTACCTGTAGTTCCTTGAGCAATATTGTACAACGAGACAGAGGAAGGGAAGGCAGCCATCCCCTGGCACAGAGAGAAAGCATCCGGACTCAAGCTCTCGTTGTAGCGCTCACTAGCTAACGCTCTGCAAGCTCCCAGTTCATTCCTTGAACGAAGCTGTATCATTTTTCTTCTGTAATTTGATGGATTAGAGGTTGCCAAGCACACCAGGTAAGCCGAAACAATCAGTGTTGAGGACCTCATCCATTTTAAACATTTGGGGCTGGCAGCAAAATAAAAGCAAGGATCACATTCTGCCAGGCTACAATAGGAAAACTCAGCCAAAATAGATTGCTAGAATGAAAAACCAGATTCCTGGGCTGCAATCAAAGCACTGGTGGTTTTAATATGCTGAATTTTCGTTCTGGTTAAAGACTCGCATCTAGAGAGACATTCCTCCTAGAACTACAGGACTATTTGCTATTTTCATATTTACTGATGAAAACTAATTGCAGGTACAGCCACAAATCCTCTAATTTTATGTGCGGCTCAAATCAGGATTTGAAGGTTGTGCTAAAGTATTTTAAATCAAGTCCTCCTTTCCCTCTCCTCCAGATCACCTGGAACAAAGCATGGTTTTATTTATTCTTGAGGCATAACCAACAGATATCCAGGTGTAGCCTCAAACACCTCCCAGAACAGCAACCCCAGCACTGCCCTTTTTTCTCAACCTATTTTAATCACGATATCCACCGGAGGGTCATTTGCAAAGTAAAGGGGGCAAGAAGTTAGTGCAACAAAACTCAGTGTGAGATCTTAAGGAAGGGGAGGGTGATTTTATTTTACAAAATATTAAAATAAGCCGGTTCTGGCTGCTCATACCCACAAGAACCAAGTATATCCAAGTGATCCAACCAGGATCACTTAGGTACAGCAGAGGATGAAAGGACGACAGTTGCCAAGTCCTCGCTACGATTCCTGGTTTGTTCTTCGTTTAGAAGGACAGACTAGTTTCGGACAGGTCTTTCATACCCTCTGGCTCCTACGGCGAGATGCTTTGGCCTCAAGAGTTTTGCTTCCTTCTGCTTCCATGAAGTTTAGGCAGGTCTTGCCGCCTATTGTCTGCATTTCCTTATTTTGAGTTTCTTAAAGTTCTTCCTGTCGGGCTAACAGGAAAAGGAACGGCACAGGCGCCAAGCCGCAACCACATTTACTTTGTCCTGTTACCAGGGTGTAGGGTCTTCCGCTCGCAAGGCTTGCCCCAAACACGCTCTCTCTTTCCATCAATCTGTGATCTTCAGTCCTACTAATCCCAGCGCAAGGCCATACCACGTGGCATGCATTATGCCGCAACACTACTAGCGTTACTACTAGCAATATAATTTCTATTTCAAGCATTATTTTTGGAAATACAAACTAAAGAACTACAGGATGCAAAGCTAACAAAAACAGCGGGGCTTTTGGTTCCCATCTTTTCAAAGTCACATACCAGTGGTGCATAGCTAAGGTGCGTGCGCGCATCCTCTTTACTGGTTCTTAAGGCTTTCTAAAGATGGTATTGGTATTATTTTCCCTCCTACCTAGTTTTTCAACATCCAGAATAGCAGGTTTCAATATCTCCCTTTCCATTTATGATTTTTGCAAGATTTCCGAAGGACATTTAGGTCAAGGGCTGAAGCCAAAGCGCTGCTAGCTCTTGGGAGAGAGAACAAGACAAGTCAATATTGACTTTGACTCCAGTCTTCAAAGCTTCATCTTCTTCATACCAGCCAGACAAAATAAGTTTGTAACTCATGTAATTAGAGTCCCTTACAAACGTCTGGATAAGCAGGATGTGAATGCGTCGCCGAGAACACGGTTTAAAACCTGTTTGTTCATCCAGCGGCGTTCAGCCTCTCCAGATCACACAGCTCCCTTCCGCGACAGGCTGCCCGTGCCTGAAAAATACCCAAGGGAGAAAGCAGCTGTGCCTGCACCCCCGACGCCTGAACGACGACTCTGCCCGGGGCCAAGGGCAGCTGGGAGAGGCCAGAGGATCCGGCCAAGGATGCCAAACACAACCCGCAGGCCGCTGGCCAAGAGCCTTTCAAATATTTGAAGTCTCTAAAGCAGCAATTCTAAGAGAACGATCATTCTCACATCCGGCCGTGAGAGCTTTCAGGTTTGGTTTGATGTCCAGAACAGGTCTGCTTCTTCATACTGCTTCTCGGAGGCTTTGGTTTTCAAATCTCTTCGTAGCAATCACGTATTTCAAACATTTCTACAAGCATGCAATTGCTTGTCAGTTTTTCCCGTGATTAGTAAAACAGGAACAGGATTGTAATACACGAGACAGCATCCCAGAGCGGAGAATGAAATAAGGAGTCCTTATGAGTGAACTCATAAATGAACTCATTTATTGATAAACCAGAGCAAAAGAGCAAACATTTGCCCCAGAAATTTATATATTACAGATTTTACACCACTAAAGTTGAGTGTTCCCTGGGTTGTTTGTTTTTTTAAAAAGTGTAAAAGGAAAATACAGAAAGGAATTCTGGAAAATGAGAACCATAGAACAGCCCAGGTTGGAAGGGATCTGGAAAGATCGTCTGGTCCAATCTCTCACGGGAAAGGGAGCCGAGATGAGATTATCCAGCACCCTCTCCAGCCGCATCTTGAAACCTTCCATCGATGGGGACGCTACCACGTCCCTGGGGACGTTGTTCCGGTGACTGTTCTCACTGTAAAAAAATGTCTTTCTTACATCGTGATGAAACCTCTCCCGATGCAACTTGTACCCATTGCCCCTTGTCTTCTCCATGTAACCCCGATGCAACTTGTACCCATTGCCCCTTGTCTTCTCCATGTAACCCCTTGTGAAAAGAAACCCTCCGTTCTCCTCGTAGCCGGAAAATCGTGATGAGACCTGACTCCTTCGGCCTTTCCACAAAGGGCAGGTTCTCCAGCCCTTCAACCATCTCCTTTGGACCCTCTCCAGTTTGTCCACGACTTTCTTGACTTGTGGGGACCAGAACTGGACACAGCACCCCAGGCATGGCCTTACAAGCACCGAGTAGAGCAGGATGATCCCATCTCTCTCTCTTTCTGCTAGTAATGCCCCTGCAGATGCAGCCCAGGATCCAATTTGACTTCAGGCTTGCTCTCCCACGTGACACAAAGGGGTTCAGGATATTTACGTTTTCTGTTGTATTTTTTAAATACACATTAGAAACTCTGAACCTCTCCGCACATAAAAAAACGCTACTGTGACTGGTACACTGGGAAAATTATAGCTCAAGACAAGAGCATAAATGCTGAGCATGCGAGAAGCAACGATATATTTAGGTTTCCAGATCGTTTCTATCCGCTTAACCCTGAGAGTCTGATGAAAACACTGAAAACAGTTAAATGTGGACAGGAAGACTTCCAACGAGGAGAAGAACAAACCACACACCACCTATATTTGAAATTTCTGATCTTTCTAAAGCTTACAAACACCTAAAAATAGCTCCTTCCTTTCCCTTATCCAACATACAATTTTAGATGTTTAAACAGTCTTTACCCATCACGAGGCAGCAAAAAAACCAAACAAATTGCTTATTTTTTTTGAGCTGTTAAGCCATCAACGAGCCTCTTCTGTAGTCGCTGCTTAAGAAATGCCCCTATTGAGAAACGCTCGATAGAAATACTCAGCTCGAGAAAGCAAACAGAGCAGCACAACCCGGCGTCAGCTCCCGCTAGCTGCCTGCTTACCTTTTGTAATCATTTCCCCCTGCAAATGAAATTCTCCAGAGCGAAAAAAGGTGACAAAAGTTAAAAATCTTTTCTACAAGTAGGTGGAAAAGGAGAATGTGACAAAAGCAGTACCTAAATAAATGCGTCTGCTCTCGTGTTTAACCAAGAGATAGCCCAGATCTACTTCAAACGACACACGGCTTAGCAGGAGCAAAAGAGCTCTGCAGGGAGGGATGTATCGAACACATCCAACGCCAAAGCGTGCTACGAGCTCTTCGCATGCTTTCACGACAGTAATTACTTATAAAAACGGGATTAAAAGGAGATAGCATGCTTTATGGAAAGAGTCTAGGGCATTGAACGGTGGGGGGGAAACGAAGGAACGCCTCCTGAAAACTCTGAAAGAGAATTGGGAGGTAAGAAAACAAATTTGGTTGGAGGAAATGGAAGGAGGGGGGAAAAACATTCCTCTCTCTATCTCAAGGGTTATGTAAGGGCTGCTGCTGGAGCTCTATAAATAGGACGTTAACAGGTGTCAAATGGGGAGAAAACTCCAGCAATCGAGTCAAATTTTTCCATCAGGTAGTTTTTTAGCAAGATTGACAGTCAGCTTCGGGTTTGTTAAGGCTTGACTTGAGGGCTAAGACTGAGATGAACGGGGGTGGTTTGTCCCCGAGGCTGCAGCGTCTGCCCCATCGCAGGTGGCGGAGGGCAGGATTCCACGTCGGGACATAATCCATAGCCAAAAGCAGGATCATTACAACCGTGTCAGGAAGATGTGCTAGTTGTTCATTCAAGCCAATGATTAAAATATAGGAACGTGAAGATAATCAGCTCTTCTGCTACCAAAAAAGGCCCTTATCACAGAAGGAAGGAAACATGTTTGAGAATTTGCCCAAAAATAGAAGGTGTGGAGCCACTTAGCAAATTCACAGCGGTCTTGCATGAGGCTCGAAGGCGTCCTTGCTGCAGCTCCAGATCATGACAGGTTTCACAGGGATGGAAACACAGACCCTAGTCTGAAAGTCCGTTCCCAGCTGCCGCTGGTGCTCCAGACACGCTGAACGCAGGCTCCTACCCCCGAGGCAGCGAGGGGCTTCACATCCCCCACCGAGGGATCTGAGTGGCGAGGCCGGGATGGCCAGGGCAGAAAAAGATGCCCTGGGCTTGGGGTACCCACCTCCTGGGTGGCAGCACCCCAGCACCATGTGGCCCTTGAGGGCACGAACTGCTATGACGATAAGGAGAGAGAGAGATGCCCCAAACCAGCTGGGAACGCCCCCCACACCCCATCACAGAACCATGGGGTGCTCTACATCCCTCCCAGTATCGCAGAACCATTGGGACGGGGACGATCTCCCCAATCCTGCGATTGCGGATTAACCCCCACCTCCTCCCCCTAATATCCTGGGGCTGTTGGGGTGGCGGGACCCACACATCCAGAGACTATGGGGTAACCCCCCCACATCCCAATACTGCCAGCAGAAAGGTGGAAAAGAGGAAGAACCACCATTCCCAGCACACAGGACAGGGCTGATATCTTATCCAAAGGCCCTCTGGTTGCCTGGACCCCCCCATCCCAGGATCACCCCTCCCAGGACAGTGGGGCCCCCCCACCCCAATACATTGGGACTGGGGAGGGGGTGCGTGGGTCAGCCCAGGCCGGTCCAGAATCACAGGGCGACTGAAATGGGGCTGACCTCCACCAGGGACCGTAGAGTACCCTGTCCCCCCCCCACACACCCCGTGTCCATGGGGATGAACCACCCCGTGCGGGGCATCCAAGCATCCCTCAAAGTGCTGAAACCGGTGGGACGGGAAGAATCCGCCATCCCCCGGGGGTCGTAGGAGGAGGGTGATCCCCCACCCCCCGAGACCGGCGGTCCCCTTCAACACCCTAAGAC